TTCATTCATTTATTTTGAGATGGAGTTTTGCTCTTGTTGCCCAGGCTGAAGTGCAATGGCGCAATCTTGGCTCACCGCAACCTCCACTTCCCAGATTCAAAGGATTCTCCTGCCTCAGCCTCCCAAGTAGCTGAGATCACAGGCATGCACCACCACACCTGACTAATTTTGTATTTTTAATAGAGACGGGGGTATCTCTATGTTGGTCAGGCTGTTTTTGAACTCTCAACCTCAGATGATCCAGCTGCCTCAGCCTCCCAAAGTGATGGGATTACAGGCATGAGCCACTGTACCCGGCCTCTTTTTTTCATTTTTAAACTAATTTACAGAAACTTTGTGTAGGGAAAGTCATTCAACAAACCCATGGGAGGCGTGTCCATGAAGCTGAGCTGTGTCATTTCCGGTGCCTAAGCTGGCAGATTGTCGTAGGTGTGTTCTTTTTATTCCATATGTGTGCACTGTCCCTTGCAGATGAAAACCTTCTGGGTCTGTTTGGCCTTAGGGTCTGCTCCTGGTTGCCCTGTGCCAACAGGTGAGGCAGCTTTTAACAGCTGGTGATCAAATGGCAACATCTGGGCCAAGAGGGCTTTTGGGAGCTTTCTCAAAAGGACAAGCCATCGCCAAGCAAAACCCCCTCTTATACTGATAAAAGTTCTTCCCCCCCACCCCCCGGACAGTCTCACTGTTGCCTAGGCTAGAGTGCAGTAGCACAATCTCGGCTCATTGCAACCTCCGCCTCCTAGGTTCAAGTGATTCTCCTGCCTTAGCCTTCCGAGTAGCTGGGCCTACAGGTATGCGCCACCACGCCCGGCTAATTTTCGTATTTTTAGCAGAGGCAGGGCTTTGCCATGTCGGACAGGCTGGTCTCGAACTCCTGACCTCAGGTGATCCACCCGCCTTAGCCTCCCAAAGTGCTGGGATTACAGGCATGAGCTACTGCACTCTGCTGGTAAAAGTTCTTAAATAAAAATTACTTTCTATATAGAACAATGATTGGGTGGCAGGGTTACCCTCTGTATCTCTGTATTTTCTCAGTGGGAAGAAAGAGAGTTGGCCAACACAGGCAATCATGGGAAAGCAGTATTCATGGGAACTGACGGCTAGAATGTGATGGGCCCCCAACGTAGCCCCTTGGCTGCCTGGGCTCCTGGGAGACAGATGGAATTTCCCAGTAGGCAAAGATTACATTGAAGAAACCCCTGTTAGAGAAAAGACTTTGAAGAAAGCATCTGACTTCGTGGAGAAGTTGGTTGCCTTGGCCAAGTGCTGACCTCATTCATCCCTTCAGTGCCCTCTGCTCTAGAGTGATGGGGCTAAAGCCATGCCTCCTCACAGGGAGTTCTTGCCAAACTGGGCAGCAGCTGGCTGGGAAAGGCATAAGACCATGTGAACATAGATGTTAAGGCTATTTAAACAAGAACACAAAGTTCTAGCATTTTGCTTTTTGAAAGGATAGTAACTAGAAATTGCTAGTTAGGAGGCCAAAGAGATTTCTTTTTACAAGGTTAGGATAGAATGGGGCTAGGAAGTCTTAAGCTGTCTGTGGGTACCTTATAGGATTTTATTTTTGCAGAAATGGGCTCCTGGTTTATGCTTAGGCATTTTCAGCCATAAAATGGGCAGAGCATGCTGGCCTTCTCTCTGGGGAACCCTCAGCCTACCCCAGAATCAAGAAACAAGATCTCATGAGGCTTCTTGGCCACCACAGTATGCAGGTTGTCCTCCGTGTGTGGGGGTCTATATTCCCAGCCACACGGAGCAGCTGGACGCTTGCATTTGGCCAGAGTGCCATTCAAGCTTACCACCACTGTGATTTTCTTGCTGCTACAAAGGAGGGGTAGTCTATCCTCTCTTCCCCATATTCTGAGAGACTGTCCCTGGGTCATGCCAGAGCAGCTGATGCTGGCTCCCAGGATGGCAGAATAATGGCTTTGGAGGACGGCTACTACTGCATGGTGGTGCCATCAGCTCTCCCTGAGAAGTGCTTTCACAGCCAATCTGTAGCACTTGATGATTGACCCACTGTGAGCAGGATGTTAACTGTTCCTCTGTAAGTGCTCCTTCCCTGTGAGCACTCCCCAGGGGAAGATGCTGGCTGATCCTGGCTCTAGGAGTGGTGGTGGGCCGGGCCTATTTCACAGACACACTATAAATCCTAAAACCACCCATTTGAGTGGTCACCTGAAAACCTGAGTCAGGGCTGTAGTCTCTCACCCTGCTCTGATCTTCCACCCGTGTATTTTTCACCTTCTTCTTGCTCTCCTTGGTCGTCCTCCCAGTGGGAATCAGATATATACTGATGCTTCCCATTTGGCTTTGACAGTGGTTTCCAGGAATCCTTACAGAGTTCTAATTGTGTGTGGGAAGAGAGCGTGGGCCTGGGCCTGCGGGGAGAGATTGTTACCAGAGGGGAAAGGATAAGCTGCGTTTCGGGAGTGTTTTCTTTGAAATGAAGGTAAACTCAAAGTGTGTGTTTGAAATACATATCAACAAAGCTATGCTTTAGTTGGTAGTATTTAAACTGATCATAAGAGCTTCAGAAGAAACCCTCAAAAATTAATCTGGAGAAGAAAAGTATAAATGGTGCAGTTGTACCTGTCCTCAGCTGTGTGCTTGTAGCCCTTGTGGCATGTGGGAGAACATGAGCAAAGGCTCCCACATGCTGTGTGGGCCCTGCAGACAGTGCTATCAGAGCGGTTGGAGAAGGCTTTAGAGACACTGCAACCAGTGGAGCATGTGTTTGGGGTAGGGACAGTATGTGTGTTCTTTGGAAAACTACTTTTTAGTAGAAGCAGTATCCAGATTGTGTTCTTTGTACTATATATTGAGCAAATGCTAAAATATGATGGACTTGTCATATACAGCTGAGGTTTATGAAATGTGTCATCTGAATGACTGTGAAACTTACAAATGATGTTTGCTGTATAATCTTTCAGGAAATAAAAAAGTTCATTAAGGGGGTCTCTGAGAAGATCAAGAAAACCAGAGATAAATATGGCATCAATGATAACGGCACAACAGAGGTAATATCCCTCCAAGATGCATTAGAACCCCAAGCTGTTTGCAGGTGCCTCCGGCCCTTAACTCTGTGCTTGGCTTGTGTTCTTCCAGCCCCGCGTGCTGTACCAGCTGGACCGCATCACCCCCACCCAAGTAGAAAAGTTTCTGGAAACCTGCAGGGACAAGTACATGAGGTAATGATGCTGTTGTCTTGGACTGACGGTCATCCACGTAGGTCTCACGTATCCCTCCTGTTTCCCCATAGGTACAAAACCCTGCACCAGTGCACTTGTTAACTGCCGGTATTTGATCAGATTCTGTCACATTTTCTCTAGGGAGTCTGATGAATTGCTAGGCTGAGTACTCCAAGATATGGAAATAATTGCAAGGAAATTTCTTAATGTCTTCTCCCCATGGGGAAACTGCTGATGAGTATGGCAGATGCCAGCTGCTCTGTTCGCCATCGGTACCATTGGTTAGCAGACCACTTAGATCTTCTGCATCCGTAGGCACGCAGAATTGAGTTGCACTGCTGCCCCCTCTGTGAGCATTACTTTCCCCTGTCTGCACCTATTTCTGGTCTATACCAGGCTCTTCCTCTGTCACAAGCATACCCTGGCCTATTGCCAATTCCTTCCTGACCCTAATAGCATCTGTATTCTCTGTTGAAAGTGATAACCAGAAGCCTCTCCCCAGCAGTTTTACTGGACTTTTCTTTGTCATCCTGTATTCTTATCCATACCCTTGCCTTCTAGGGCACAGATGGAGCCAGGTTCTGCAGTGGGCGCACTGTGTGCCCAGAGCATTGGTGAGCCAGGCACCCAGATGACCCTGAAGACTTTCCACTTTGCAGGCGTGGCCTCCATGAACATCACCCTGGGCGTCCCTCGGATTAAAGAGATCATCAATGCTTCCAAGGCCATCAGGTGCCTGCTTCCTTTTCCCTCCTGTTGCACACATGCCTGTCCTGTTTCTTGAGAAGCAGTGATCCTTGTGTCACATGCATATGTGTGATATTCTCATAGGACAGTGTCTCAAACTCTGAGTGGCATGCTTGCTGTGTTAGTCATATTCTGGTTTTTAAAAAAGCCACTCAAGAAAAAGTCTAAACTGGATACATTCAAAATAGAAGCAATGGTTTTCTATGGCTACAAATAACATGAAAGAGACAAAATGTTAAAAACGACTAGAAAAATTGGCGCAATGTGTCAGTGGAGATTTCATCCTTTTGATGTCATTATTCCAGCCTACTAGGCCTGACTGAAGTGTCTGCCACGTGGCCTGTGGTCATATTCTGTGATTCCTGGTGATTTCATGATGGGATTTTTAGTTGATCTAAGGCTAGAAGAAGTAGAAATGTATTACAATGCCTTTGATGACAGAAATCATGATGACCTAATTTTTTTAAAATGACAATACATAGCATTAAATGAAAGATAGCCATACTTGGTTGCAGAACCACAACTGTAGATATCCAGGGTGTTAGGAGCTCTGCCTGCCGCTTCTGGGCTGGTCAGTTTAGTCCCAAGAATGTATATTCTGGGGATCCTGTCCAGAACGGTGAGGACAGAAGCCGATGGCCAGTGATCAGAGGAGCTGGAGGTGTTCCTGGAGAAGCAGTGTTGGGAGATAGGAGGGATGAAGGAAATTTTAGTATACAAAAGGTCACTTTATAGGCCAAGCATCGTGGTTCATGCCTGTAATCCCAGCACTTGGACAGGCCAAGGCTGGAGCATCACTTTAGCCCAGGAGTTCGCGACCAGCCCAGGCAACGTTGGAAGACCCCAAGTCTACAGAAAATTTAAACATTAAATTAGCCAGGCATGGTGGTGCACACCTGTGGTTCCAGCTATTTGAGAGGCTGAGGCAGGAGGATCAATTGAGCCCAGGTGGTAAAGGCCGCGGTGAGCTGTGATCCTGTCGCTGCACTCCAGCCTGAAACAGAGCGAGATCCCTTTCAAAAAAAAAAAAAAAAAATCTGGGTGGTCAGTTTACACAGCGAACGGAACTAAAATAACTGCTGGTTATGATTGTTAGGACCAAAGAAAAACAGGTAGGATTCACTTTCTTTTTCTTTTGAGACAGAGTCTCTGTTGCCCAGACTGGGGTGCAGTAGTGTAATCTCGGCTCACTGCAACCTCTTCCTCCTGGGTTCAAGCGATTCTCCTACCCCAGCCTCCTGAGTAGCTGGGACTACAGGCGCACACCACTACACCTGGCTAATGTTTGTGTTTTTGGTAGAGATGGGTTTCGCCATGTTAGCAAGGCTGGTCTCAAACTCTTGGCCTCAGGCTATCTGCCCCCCTTGGTCTCCAAAGTGCTGGGATTACAGGTGTGAGCCACTGCGCTCGCCCAAGGTTCACTTTCTAAGGAAGAATTTTCAAGGCCGGGCGCGGTGGCTCAAGCCTGTAATCCCAGCACTTTGGGAGGCCGAGGCGGGTGGATCACAAGGTCAAGAGATCAAGACCATCCTGGTCAACATGGTGAAACCCCGTCTCTACTAAAAATACAAAACATTAGCTGGGCATGGTGGCGCGTGCCTGTAATCCCAGCTACTCAGGAGGCTGAGGCAGGAGAATTGCCTGAACCCAGGAGGCGGAGGTTGCGGTGAGCCGAGATCGCGCCATTGCACTCCAGCCTGGGTAACAAGAGTGAAACTCCGTCTCAAAAAAAAAAAAAAAAAAAAAGGAAGAATTTTCTGAAAATCTTTTTGTTCACTTATGGAGTAGATTGCCTGGGGACCATTAAAAATAGTAAGTGTAAATGAGAATGTATGTGAACCCCTTAGCATACCTGAGAGTAAATGCTCAGTAAACTGTGGTTACTAGTAACATTATGATTCTAAATGGCACTTGGGTTTAACAAAGCAGTGGTCTTCAGACAGGCTTTTCCCTTGTGATAGCATCATTTTTCCTTTGCTTCTCAACAGCACTCCAATCATCACAGCACAGCTAGACAAGGATGACGACGCGGATTATGCTCGCCTCGTGAAAGGAAGAATTGAGAAAACCCTCTTGGGAGAGGTAAGAAGAAATCCCTATTGATAACAAGAAAACTAGCTCAGCAATATGGCAAGGAAGTGTAAAAATCAGCTGCAATGGGCCGGGCGCGGTGGCTCATGCCTGTAATCCCAGCACTGTGGGAGGCCGAGGCGGGTGGATCACGAGGTCAAGAGATCGAGACCATCCTGGTCAACATGGTGAAACCCCGTCTCTACTAAAAATACAAAAAATCAGCTGGGCATGGTGGTGCGTACCTGTAATCCCAGCTACTCAGGAGGCTGAGGCAGGAGAATTGCCTGAACCCAGGAGGCGGAGGTTGTGGTGAGCCGGGATCGCGCCATTGCGCTCCAGCCAGGGTAACGAGCGAAAGTCCGTCTCAAAAAAAAAAAAAAAAAAATCAGCTGCAATGGATTGACCAGTCTGTGGCGTCCACGTTATTCCAGCTCTTCAAAAAAAGCAAGCCGTCGCATGCTCTTAGGAAAGGGGAAAGTGGCTGATGAACACTTTGATCTTTTAACACTCCAGATTTCCGAGTATATTGAAGAAGTGTTTCTTCCTGATGACTGCTTTATTCTCGTCAAGCTCTCCCTGGAACGGATTAGACTTCTGAGACTGGAAGTGAGTCACATAATTAAATGTAGAGAGGAAGTCATCCTGTTAGTCCCAAGATAGGTACCGATAAACTAGGGCAAGAGCTAAGCAAGACAGAGGAAGCATTGCAGAAGCTTCTGTTTGGTTTCTGGTTTCTTTAATTCTGTTGTTCCCTCACATTTTCTTGTTCTAAACCTGACTTTGATACAAATATAGCCATCTAAAGACTCACAGAAAATCAGCTGAAATTTTGTGCAGACCACAATACCAGTTCACTGTGACATGGTATTATGATAAGTGATCTTGTTGCTCCTCTTCCCAGTGTCTGGAAGGACCCTAGGGTTGGCTGTGTCTTACTTACCTGTGGGTCCTCAGTGCCCACCATGGCAACTAGCCTAAGAGTTTCAGTAAATGCTTTTAGATGGGGAGATTAACCTGGCTTCTTAAACTGGCATTCGTGGGAAATAGGTAATAGTTGACAGATGATCATCAGCCTTTCTCACAAACAGACTGACATGGGGTGCAAAATGAGTAACTTCCTGACACCATCTCGTAGCCCTTAAAACAGTCTGTAGCCCGTTCTCTCATGCACCAAGTTCGTATGTTACCCATATGACACTTGACTCTGAAGTGCAGCAACCTACTCTCCAGTCTGGGGATTTCTCTAGCCTCCTTCTTGCTGCCTGCCTTGTGGCTGTTTTGCAGAAGACCTGAGTTGTATCCAGGACTGTCGCACATGAACCATTGTGGAAATGTCGGGTGAAGGGGAGGCCCCACAGAAGTTTTTAAATCAGCCTGGCCTCCAACCCCCAGCCTCCCTAGAGCTTCCCACAGAGGCTGCTGCGTGTGTTGCCATGAACTGAGCATAAATTTTCCAGGGCAAATATTTTGTTGTGGGTGAACAAAATCTCTTTTTATGAATAAAGCACAGATAATATACACATACAGTACATAAAACAGATAGGCAGTATATCTATGGCATTAATTTCATGGTAGGGGGCAGCTTAGAACAAACCTGACTAAAGGACTTCTTAGAGGAGCAATAATGAAAGAAGATGAAAAACACTCGAAGCCTCCAAACCTCTGTCAGTAACACCTACGCCCGGCCACGTTGCAGGTGAACGCTGAGACAGTGCGCTATTCCATCTGCACTTCCAAGCTCCGCGTGAAGCCCGGTGACGTGGCTGTTCACGGTGAGGCTGTGGTGTGTGTCACCCCCAGAGAGAACAGCAAGAGCTCCATGTACTATGTGCTGCAGTTCCTGAAAGAGGATCTCCCCAAGGTAAAACAGAAGCTGCTTCTCCTGGAGACCCAGCGTCTTCCTGTGGTGTGACACCCAGGGCTGGGACCTAAGGGCTTTGTCACTTAGTCCCATTTCTTCATTTCTTCTTCGCCTTATCCCCAAGGAGCTAGTCTGTTAGATTCCTCTCTGCTCTGTCAACAAACTGATGTTAGGATGAGGTGCAGTCCCTTGAACTTCTTCTATTCTCCCATCCCCCTAAAACTAGCTCTAATGTGTCTCAGATGACCACTGCTGACAGCTGGGCTGATCAAGGTGACCAGCCCAGGGCATGGCTCACCCCGTCCTCACAGCCGTCTCTGCCTCTGAATCCAGGTGGTGGTGCAGGGCATTCCAGAGGTGTCCAGAGCTGTCATCCACATTGATGAGCAGAGTGGAAAGGAGAAGTACAAGCTTCTGGTGGAAGGTGATAACCTACGGGCGGTCATGGCCACGCACGGTGTGAAGGGCACCCGAACCACCTCCAATAACACCTATGAGGTACCGCTCAGCCCTTGGGGTTGCCTTAGGGTTAGGCTGTCTGCCCTGTGCCATCTGCAGGCCTTCCACTGGTTCCCACCGTACTTCTCTGACCATCCCATTTGCCCCGGGTCTACAACTAAAAACTGTCCAGCAATCCATTTCTGGAAAATGGCACAGGGTTTGCTTAGAACCTGCAGGGCAGAGTAGGAAGTGGAGAGAATTTGCAGTGGCCTCCCAGAAGGAGCTGCTTCTGTTCATTCCTGGCTCTCTGTAGGTGGAGAAAACTCTGGGCATCGAGGCCGCCCGGACAACGATCATCAATGAAATCCAGTACACCATGGTGAACCACGGCATGAGCATTGACAGGAGACACGTGATGCTGCTCTCTGACCTCATGACCTACAAGGTGTGTGGGCAGGAGGCCCTCGGGTGCCTGGGTGTCCTGAAACTCACTCTTAGGAGAGGAAACCTATGGAGTTTCTAAGACATGTAAAATATGCTGCTGTGAGGATCATCACAGCAGTTCACCATTAAGATGTGAACATTGCTCAAAAACCGAAGTATGTGCTGCCCAGGCTGGGTGTCCTGGTCAAACCCCAATATGAGAATTACAACCTCATGACAAACTCACACCCAGTCAGCGAGTGAAGAGAGCTGAAACTTGGTTCCATTTTCATCCTGAATGTCATCCTAAAGCAAATTTAGCCGTTGCCAAAGTCCAGAGAGTCCCGTGGCAAGTTGAGATGTTTATTTCTTATTAAACCCATCCATCTCCTATAGCCATTCCCAGGAAAGAAGTTAACATGACCTGAAGTTGATTGGTTGTTTTGATTTTATTTCTCTCTCTCTTTTCCAAAAAAAACATATTTCCCTCTAGCTGTGCCTTAGGGCAGCATGTTTTCATAAGGCTTCCCTAGACAAGTCAATAGTGTATTACAGGATATTTAGAAACTAAGAGAGGGAAATGGCCCATTTCCTACCACCCTGAGGCTGTGAGTTTGAAGTCTTCCTTGAAGTCCTGCATCTATTCTGGCACAAGGTGGTGTGGGGGGACTTCTTTGAAGTCCATGTGCATCTGTTACTTTAGTTGCAGCAAACAGTGTGCATGCAGTTTTTGTTCTGACTTTGTTTAACATCACAAGTATTTTCCACCTTGTTTCATGGTGTTAATAAGTATACTTTTTAAATTATGGCACAGTATTCCTTTGAATAGAATTACCTAAATTTAATTAATTCTCTTCATACTTGAGATTTTTAAATTCTTTTCATTTTCAGTGATTTGAGCCATAAGAACCCTCTTCAGAAGCACTCCCCTTTTTCAAAGTTAGTTTCTGGATTCTAGTTCTCAGTTGTTTATTCTTTGTTCTGATGGTATCTGGATGCAAGTGTAAGGCTCCATGTTGCCAATGACTGACCACCTCAGTGGGACACAGAGGGCAGACATAGCTCCTCCGAGCCTTTCACACCGGAGGTTGGGCTGAGGTTGGGACTTGGCGGATTTTTGTTGATTTTATTGAAGGTGCACCGTGCTTTGGTTTTTCGCTTTTGCCAGTGGTGTGAGTACCACCGTGACTCTTTTTCCCTTGATGCAGGGTGAAGTCCTGGGCATCACTAGGTTTGGCCTGGCCAAGATGAAGGAGAGTGTGCTGATGCTGGCCTCCTTTGAGAAGACAGCTGACCATCTCTTTGATGCTGCCTACTTCGGGCAGAAGGACTCCGTGTGTGGTAGGTTTGATGTTTCTATGAGCAGCATCAAAGGCCTTTACCATTTACAACTTAGACTGTGGCTGGGTTTCTAAGGGAATGAACAAAACTGAGTGGCAGAGCATTTATTTTTTGAAGCATAATGTCACAGATCATGGAATTGGAACGGCTGGATCTTTTATCTCCAAAGCCTGACTGACTGTAGCATCCTGCATCCCATTAAATCTGTTGGAAGGCCTCCCTCTGTCAGCACAGATGGTTTTTGGTCCAGGAAGAAAAGAGCAAGACCCTGGGCATGTAAGAATTTTTCTAGCCCTTGACTTTGTAGTCAGCCACACTGATCCTGACCCCTCTGTGTGACACCAGGGCTGACAGAAGGGGGTAGTGGCTGGGCGGCACTGAGCAGAGCAGAGTGTCTTGCTGTCCTAGATTCCTTCGGAGGTGGTCATTGATGCCTGCTGAGCGCCCATGCCAGGCACCCTATGTGCTAAGTATCTCAACCCACCCATAGAGTGTGGATATTAAGCCCTTTCACAAGTCGGAAGGCAAAGGTGACCTCACTTGCTGTCAAGACCAGCAGAGCCTTGCTCTATGCCATGCCTCATCCCCCCACGACTCCCACCCACAAAGCATGGCTCTGATGGGGCAGTGCTGGTCTGGGTGAGAGGGAGCACGAGGGGAATTCTCCCCAGTGTCCGGCTTCCCTGCCTCTTCCATGAGGCCAGCACTGGCTGCTGGGCTTTGCTCAAGCATTTCTGATTCCACAGCAAGACCCTACAGGCCTGGGGTGGGAGCTGGTGAGGGGCTGGGGTTCACGAGGGCCAGCACCCTGCCCCGGGGCACACACCAGTCAGGTCCAAGCAGGGATTCCAAGGCTGGTTGCCGTTTGCAGGCCAGAGCTCTGCTTCCCAGTAGCCCTTTGTTCTCTCATCTCCTGCTATTGTACAGATTGGCCTCAGTAGAGTGTACAACTGTTTTTTGCCTCTAAGATTACCTCCTCCTCTTTTCAAAAGGGACGTGGAATTTTTTTTTTTCTTTTTAGAGAGATGGGGTTTCACCATGTTGGTCAGGCAGGTCTCAAACTCTTGACCTTGTGATCTGCCCACTTAAGCCTCCCAAAGTGCTACAGGCATGAGCCACAACGCCCGGCCACATTTTTTTTTTTATTGCATTCAGGTTTTGGGGTACATGTGAAGAACATGCAAGATTGTTGCATAAGTACACACATGGCAGTGTGATTTGCTGCCTTCCTCCCCTTCACCTATATCTGGCATTTCTCCCCATGTTATCCCTCCCCAACTCCCCACCCCCCACTGTCCCTCCCCTATTTCCCCCTGACAGACCCCAGTGTGTGATGCTCCCCTCGCTGGGTCCATGTGTTCTCACTGTTCAACACCCGCCTATGAGTGAGAACATGTGGTGTTTGATTTTCTGTTCTTGTGTCAGTTTGCTGAGAATGATGGTTTCCAGGTTCATCCATGTCCCTACAAAGGACATGAACTCATCGTTTTTGATGGCTGCATAGTATTCCATGGTGTATATGTGCCATATTTTCCCTGTCCAGTCTATCATCGATGGGCATTTGGGTTGGTTCCAAGTCTTTGCTATTGTAAACTGTGCTGCAATGAACATTCGTGTGCACGTGTCCTTATAGTAGAACGATTTATAATCCTTTGGATATATACCTAGTAATGGGATTGCTGGGTCAAATGGAATTTCTGTTTCTAGGTCCTTGAGGAATCGCCACACTGTCTTCCACAATGGTTGAACTAATTTACACTCCCACCAACAGTGTAAAAGTGTTCCTATTTCCCCACATCCTCTCCAGCATCTGTTGGCTCCACATTTTTTAATGATCGCCATTCTCACTGGCATGAGATGCTATCTCAATGTAGTTTTGATTTGCATTTCTCTAATGGCCAGTGATGATGGGCAATTTTTCATATGTTTGTTGGCCTCATATATGTCTTCTTTTGTAAAGTATCTGTTCAGATCCTTCACCCACTTTTGAATGGGCTTGTTTGTTTTTTTCTTGTAAATCTGTTTTAGTTCTTTGTAGATTCTGGATATTAACCCTTTGTCAGATGGGTAACCTGCAAAAATTTTTTCCCATTCTGTTGGCTGCTGATTCACTCTAATGACTGTTTCTTTTGCTGTGCAGAAGCTGTGGAGTTTGATTAGGTCCCATTTGTCTATTTTGGCTTTTGTTGTCAATGGTTTTGGTGTTTTGGTCATGAAGTCCTTGCCTATGCCTATGTCCTGAATGGTTTTGCCTAGATTTTCTTCTAGGGTTTTTATGGTGTTAGGTCTTATGTTTAAGTCTTTAATCCATCTGGAGTTAATTTTATTGTAACGTGTCAGGAAGGAGTCCAGTTTCTGCTTTCTGCACATGGCTAGCCAGTTTTCCCAATACCATTTATTAAACAGGGAATCCTTTCCCCATTGCTTGTTTTTGTCACGTTTGTCAAAGATCAGACGGTTGTAGATGTGTGGTGTTGCCTCCAAGGCCTCTGTTCTGTTCCATTGGTCTATATCTCTGTTTTGGTACCGGTACCATGCTATTTTGATTACTGTAGCCTTGTAGTATAGTTTGAAGTCAGGTAGTGTGATGCCTCCAGCCTTTTTCTTTTTGCTTAGAATTGGCATGGCTATGTGGGCTCTCTTTTGGTTCCATATGAAGTTTAAGGTGGTTTTTTTTCCAGTTCTGTGAAGAAGGTAGCTTGATGGGGATAGCGTTGTATCTGTAAATTACTTTGGGCAGTATGGCCATTTTCACGATACTGATTCTTCCTAACCATGAACATGGAATATTTCTCCATCTGTTTGTGTCCTCTCTTATTTCGTTGAGCAGTGGTTTGCCGGCCACACAATTCTTTAAGATAGAGGTCAGAGCCAGGCATGGTGGTACTACTGTCTGTCGTCCCAGCTACTCGGGAGGCTGAGGCAGGATGATCGCTTGAGCCCAGGAATTTGAGGCCAGCCTGGGCAACGTAATGAGACCTCATGTCTATTTAAATTTTTTTAAAAAAAACAAGCGTGAAGGGAAAGAAACAGAAGCAGCGATTAGAGTGGGGCAAGAGGGAGGGACCCGGAAGACTGGAATAAGGCCCGAGGCCAAGAGAAGAGCCAGCCTGCCTAACAACAGTCCTGACACCTGGAAACTGGGCCTTTGCTACAGCTCTATAGCCCCACACACCGCCACCTTCCTCCACCACCTCCACTTGCTTGCTTGTTGTAGACTCAAGCCTGATGCCAAGTTGACATAGGGCTTGGAGAAAGAATCTACACCATCTCCTTACTCCTGTAACTCTATAGGAGCCCTGCCTTCTGAGGGTTTCTCATCAGGGCTCAGATGCTCTTAAGCATGGCCTAGCCCCTTCCCCTGAGCACAGCTAACAGCTGCCTGCTGCTATTTCCAAGGAGATTGTATTATACTCACTGCTGTCCCAGTTGTTTGCTTTTCTTGTAGGCTGTAAGTTAAGGAAGCACTGGTTGGCAAACTTAGAATTTCCTGAGCATCCGTCAGTATTCTTGCTAAGCTGTGTTCTTAAAGGCAGGGCCCTCCCAGGGTGCTTTTGGCTCAGGTGGGAGAGGAGAACTGGTGGAGCTGACTCTGTCTCCAACAAGCTCCTGGGCTGTTGAGCAGGCACTGCCGTTCCCTGAAAGTGCAGAATCCCCCCACCTGCATTCCACAGCCACCTCCCTTTTCTAGATCAGAAGGAAAGGGATTTGGTGAAGTTCAACCAGTTGATGTGGAGTGGCGCTGGGACTCACATCCTAATTTTCTGATACTTAAGCCAACAGTCTTTCTTCCTCAAAACTACCTTGTGTTTAGAGGCTCTCTGATGTTCATTCTGGTTTGTTTCAGGGGTGTCTGAGTGCATCATCATGGGAATTCCAATGAACATTGGAACCGGGCTCTTCAAGCTGCTCCACAAGGCCAACAGGGACCCTAACCCTCCCCAGAGGCCTCTGATCTTCGACACAAATGAATTCCACATCCCGCTTGTCACATAATGCAAGGCAGGAGGGGATAGTGCCTGGCCTTGACTCCTTGTCCTGTCTGCAGCTGATGTGAAGAGTTTTGTGCTCCCTGGGACGGAGGTCCTGATGTCCCCACCTGTGCCAGCAATCAGAGAAGTCCCCTTGGCATCCCCAGGAGAGGCTCCTCCTCTGATAGGGCGCAGCTCACACCAGTGACCCTGACTGTGCCACACTGCTTGGGAGAGCTGAGGGTTTTATTGTTTGTTTGCTTGAAACTCAATCTATGGATGGCCCCACAGCTCCTGCACACCCTGCCTCCCTGGACTTAAGAGAAGGCCCAGCCCGGTGTCATGGCCCATCCTAGCTCTCTGCATACATCCATTGGCTCCCCTTGGTGTCTTCACACCTGATGTTGAGCCAGGCCTGAACCCCACACAGGCCAGGGCGCATTTGTGGATTTTCCATTCCTCGGTTATGCTGGAATCTCTCAATGTGACATACTCATGTAAATATTGTTACTATTATTTATTTGCTCCATTTGAGGGATTTAGAATTTCTGTTATTTTAGTTTTATTTTTGAAACCAAACGTCTATAGAAACCAAGAAAGCCAGCATGTAAGCATCACTGGAAAAACTGGTTTAAGCAAATAGAGCCGTCCGGGATTTATAACTGAGCTGCAACTGTCGCGAGGCCCAGGCGGCTCTGTTACATCTTCTCTCGATGCCCCTGGCTACCCTGTTTTCGTCTACCTCAGACCCCCATCCTGGGGCTGTATCCTGTGACAAGAGCCAGACCCATTCTCCATGGCCTAGGGAAGCCTCACTGGAGTTTGGGCCTGCTGAGATGGGGATGAGATGGCTTTTTATAGAATTACACTTGTGCTATTTGAATCGTCTCTAACTGATTTCTAAAGTTCTGAGTTGATGCTCTTAATGTACCTGGGGTAGCCATTGGTTCTTGGATCTATGTTAGAATGAGTGCTTTCCCTCCCTACTGATGTGATTGTACATTAGGAATTCTTGACCTGAGTGGTTTTGGCCAGTGGTTGGGTTTAAAATTCTATTAAAATTTGTAGTTTGGGCTGGGTGCAGTAGCTCACATCTGTAATCCCAGCACTTAGGGAGGCCAAGGAGGGTGGATTGCTTGAGCCCAGGAACTGAAGAGCAGCCTGGCAACATGGCGAAACCCTTCTCTACAAAGAATATAAAAATTAGCCAGGCATGGTGGCACATGCCTGTAGTCCCAGCTACTGGGGAGGCTGAGGTGGAAGGCTCACTTGAGCCTGGGAGGTGGAGATTGTAGTGAGCCAAGATCATGCCACTACACTCCAGCCTGGGCAACAAAGCAAGACCTTGTCTCAAAAAAAAATTAAGCCTAAAAAAAATTAGCTTTTATAAAAAATTATAGTTTGACCGTATGATTTCCTGCATCTACAAGGTAGACCTATTAGCTTCTCTCGGGGTCTCAGTGATATGAAAAAATGCCGTTTTTCTTAATGTTTAACCCCCCTTTATCTTTGAGTTGAGCTAGAGCCTGGTTTGTGTCAAAGGATTAAGTTTGTTAATGAACACTAATTCAGGGCTTCTACTTGAGACCCCACCAAGATCACTGCTTCTCATGTAACCTGGGAAGAGTCATAAAGGGGTGCCCCCACCCCAGTTGCCTTCCTGGAAGTGTGCCTGGGAAGTAAGCTGTAGGCCTGATCCAAGCCAAAACCACTGGGATATGTGCAGAGGCCAGAGGAGGGGGGAATTGGGTCATGACAGGGAACACCGGCACCTGTTTTCTTCTGCGGATGACGCACACTTTAAATGGAAGAGAGGTTGTGGCCGTAACTTGTGGCTGGGAATAATAAAGATGGCACCACCAAAGAGCCTCATCCTGCTTGAGCGAGTACTCAGTTGGGTGCTGCAGAGTCTAAAGTATGTGTGAGACGTGTGTGATTGTGTTGGGTGCAGATCAGCGTGTAGCACTTGGGAACAAGGCAGACCTTGGAGCAGAATGATTATGTGAAGGATCACTTCACCCATGGGAAGTCATACATCCTGGGGGTGCTGGTCCTCCTTCTGGAACTGCCAGCCTTGCTAGGACTATCAATATCAGCAGCATTGCCTGGTAAACCCTACTGTCTCTGCTCCCCACTGTGTCCCATGACTGGTGTTAAAATTCTCCCTACTGTGATCATCTGCCCTGCACTGGCATTGGGCTTTATGCCAGCACAGAGCTCAAAGGCCAGGAAGCAGCACATCCTCAAGCGTGAGAGCTCAGTCAAAGGGTTACATTTGACTCTCCACACCTGTTTGGAAGAAATAATAGGCTGGGCACAATGGCTCATGCCTGTAATCCCAGCACTTTGGGAGGCCGAGGCAGGTGGATCACGAGGTCAGGAATTCAATACCAACCTGGCCAAGATGGTGAAACCCCGTCTCTACTAAAAATACAAAAAAATTAGCCAGGCATGGTGGCAGGGGCCTGTAATCTCAGCTATTCGGGAGGCTGAAGCAGAGAATTGCTTGAACCCAGGAGGCAGAGGTTGCAGTGAGCCAAGACTGCACCACTGCACTCTAGCCTGGGCAATAGAGCGAGACTCTGCCTCAAAAAAAAACTATAAAATTTACTATATTAAAATT